CGGTCCGCAACGACCACCACATGAATTTCAAAACTTCCGTCCAACCGTAGTGACGTCTCAAGGAAATGTTACGGTGAACTACGACGATAATCAGAAAGACTTAGAGCAACAGAGCAACCAAGACATTTGCCTGTTGACCAATACTATGGTCGAGCTTCCGAGCGGTATAGTTATGCCGTATTTAAAATTCAAGGCCATCTGCAGCCCTTATCTGCCGGTTGAAGACCAAAAATCCGACATCCGAGTCATACTCGACAACAGAAATATGACGTATAAACGGTTCCAAGAAACTTTGCGGTATTACGGTTGCGGCGATCTAGAGCAAGACTCGCTGCGACCGTCGGAAATCGGCTTGGCTAACTACGTCACGTTGGCAAACGGCACGCTGAAAGTAAAAATGGACGACTACCGGAACATAATGAGAAGCCTAATTTCGGGATCGGAAACGTTGATGGTGCCCAACGTCGTCAGCGGAAAGTATGCGCTGTACCGTTCGCTCATAGCGGACGAACTACCGGAACTGATAACGTCAACGTTCGTCATCACGCACAAGGGAATCGTAGTGCCGTTTTCGTTGTACTACGCCGTGGACAGAGAACATTTCCAAAGGCCGCTGACGGCTGCAGTGGTTCCCAAGGTCCGGCAGATCAAATGGCGGGACGGAAAACTAGTGGACGTGCAGACCGTGAGACACGTGATCGACGCACTGAGGACCCCTACTTTGATTAGCTTCGTGTTCCCAAACGGGAAGCGGATGCCATTCATGAGGTGTAACATGGAAGATCCGACTGGATTATACGACTACGATCCGGAACAAGTTTTGGTGGATGTGGGCCAGTACAATAACATTCTGCTGTCACATTTCAACGATATCCTCTCCGCGGTGCATATTCCCAACGACGACGGTAAACACAAACGGTTTAATCCACCTGCAGTGTTCGCGTTGGATCCAAAGTGTCTGCAGAATACTGACATCAGCGCACAACCCCGGGACGGGAAAGCCTGCAAATGTGCGAACGTGGTYGACGTCCTGAAGTATTCCGGATATTCGATTCACGTGATAAATAAAGACAAACTACCCGGGGAAAATAAGCACGCTGATAAGAAACTCACTGTTTTTGGTCCCGTGTCGGCGATGGAAAAAACGACAGGCTTAGATTTGAACGACACTATACGAATAATATTGACTAGTTCGACGGGTACTCATGAAATAAAAATTACGAATGTACTTAACAACAAAAAACCTTTGATATACGATATAACTGACAAGCCGATTGATGTATTAGATTGGACAAAAAACTTGTCACYAAATGAATGCGACTATTCACCAGTTTACTTAATGAATAAAACAAATATTTTCAATGTGACGGAACCTGTGAATCCACAAAGCAATAATTATAATTGCACGAATATCTTAAAAGCCAACGCCGAATGCAATTGCATACCAATTTTAAAAAATAACAAAATAAACGTTAAAGTTGACATTAAAAATACACCAAATGATGAACCAAAGAATCCACTGCATTCGAATGAATCGACAAAAAATCAAACTATTACTGGATGC